AAAAAAAAAAAAAAAAAAAAAAAAAACCCGCTTCTTTTCCGGGAATGGCAGATTGCGCGGCTATGCTTTACCACGTCCTTTGATTTATCTGATTAAATCCAGCAATTATTTACATTTAAAAATATTTTATATAATTTTTCTCTCCGTTTTTCACGGTTTTTCTTTCTTTCTCTTTTTTTGTCGTTTTTTGCATATCTGTTTTGTACCCATCAATTTGCTTTTTTACCCTTGCAGGTCGAAGCAAAGACAAGAATCGAGTTCTGAGGTCACGGGTTCAAATCCCTCTACTACATCAATTAGGATGGTGAATTCCTCAAATCGAAGTTTCACTGAAGTTTCACTGAAGTTTCACTGAAGTTCACTGAAGTTCACTGAAGTTTCACTCAAAGAATTCGAGAGTGGCTGAGGAGCACGTTGGCATATGCTGCAGAGACATCGCTGTGGTCGAAATCAAAGTTTCACTGAAGAGTCTCAGCACCACAGTCTTCAGCGCAACGGCATGTGAGAACTCATTAATTAATTAATTATAATTAATTAATATGAAAATCACTCAAACAATTAACTTTCAGTTTCAAAAAGGCGTCTGCTGGACGAAATTACACTCAAACAATTAACTTTTAGTCACAACTTTTTTTTTTCCTCTCCTTTTTTGTCGTTTTTTGCATATCTCTTCGTATCACCCTTTTCCATAGAGGCTCCCACGCAAAACGATTGCAGCGAATATATTCCTTTCCTTAGTTAATTATAGATAGAAGAAACGATTTGTTCGAGCATTACTACAATTGTCACGGTCACAATTTTTTTCTTTTTTTTTTTTGGTCACTTTTTTTTTTTGTTCTTGGATTTTTTTTGGTTCCTTTTTTGCCCCTTGACTGGGGCTGTCTCTTATACACATCTAGATGTGTATAAGAGACAGGTGAGAGAGAGAGAGTAGGGATAGCGATGGTGGAGTGGTGGTCCCCACGAGGCAGATGCTCTCGCCTTCATTCAATGGTTGGAACTTGCCAAGTAATNAAATTCCCGCCAATTGGTCTTCGTCCGATCAATTGCTCTTCTTCGCGCCAATGATCAATCGGTCGTTTTCGCGCTAATTGCTCGTCTTACCGCCAATCGATAGTCTTTTTTCGTCAATCGGTGGTTTTCCCGCCAATCCGTAGTTTTCCCGCCAATCCGTAGTTTTCCCGCCTTGAAACCGTAAAGTCAAGTCGAGTCAATTCAATTCAATTGGTCTTCTTCCCGCCTATCGGTCGTTTTCCCGCCAATATTTAATCGTCTCCCCGCCAATTCATCGTCTTCCTGCCAATTCATCGTCTTCCCGCCAATATGTAGTTTTCCCGCCTTGGGATCGTCAAGTCAAGTCCAGTCAATTGGTCTTCTTCCGGTCAATTGGTCTTTTTCCCGCCAATCGGTCTTTTTCCCGCCAATCGGTGGTTTTCCCTCGAATCGATGGTTTTCCCGCTTTGGGACCATCAAGTCTCTAGTCAAGTCAAGTCAAATCAATCGTGGTCATCCTTTGCAACAGACGGGGGTGTTTAAGTAAGTAATTAATTTGTAAAATCTTTGATTCGCCCAATCTAACCATCATCGGGATCCCGCCTTGAGACATACAACTATCATGTTAATTAATTGACTGGAGGAGGGCGGAGTGGCGTCGGGACCGGGATTGATTCCTTTCCCTTTTTTTTTTGTTTATTATAATAAATAAGTTGAATAATTATTACTGCTAAAAGATCATCGATATCGTCGACACCGACCTTCACCTTTGTCTTCCTGCCTTGAGACCGACAAGTTAAGTTAGTTCGAGTCAATTCACGTTTTTTTTTTTTTTTTTGGGAAAGTTGACGCAAGTTAATTCGAGTTTAAAAAAAAAAAGGGGGCGAAGCAATTCAATTGACTCGAGTTCAAGTTAACTCGAGTAAGGGGAAAAAAAAAAAAAAAAACTGAAGTCCAAAATCGACTTAGGCTGACTTACTCCAAAATAAATAAAGAGATGATTAAATTAAATAACTAATATTGAAAATAGTAAATAAATAAAAGCAGAAATATGGGACCCAGTTAACTCAGGTTACTCGAGTTAAAGTTAACTCGAGTAATAAAAAAACAAGGTGGCGAAGCAATTCAATTGACGCGAGTTCCCAGTTATAACTCGAGTTAATACGGAAAAAAAAAAAAAAAAAAAAAAAAAGTCCTAACTCGAGTGAACAATTTGCGGCCACGTTAACTCGATTTTAAAAAAGTCGAGTCACCCAAGCAATTCAATTGACTCAAGTTGTTAAAAAAAAAAAAAAAAAAAACCTGAAATTCCTAGCTCAAAAAAGCCAACATGGCAAGACACGTCGGTGCAAGTGCGGTTCTTTTGTCAGTTGCCCTTTTGTTCGTCGGATTGAGCGGTGGCGGGATCTGGCCGGCCAAGGCCGCCGCCTGTGACCATTTCTTAACCACGGTTATTTTCGTTATCACCGGGGGCATCTTTTTTACCGGGGTTGTGATCTGCTGCTCCGAAGAGGACAACTGGTGCATCTTGTGCCCGGCCGGGTGTTTAAAAATGCTGTTCGTTTTGCTGCTGTTGGCTATTGGGATCTTCGCGTTTGCGGTGTCCAAAGACGGCGGTGCGCAGTCCGTCGTCGGGTCGGGATACAAGCAGTTCGATCTCGATGGATACTCCACGTGGCTGCGCCACAGAGTGCGCAACGAGGCTGTCTGGAAATCAATCAAGGGGTGCATAATGAAGCGGGAGGAGTGCCAACAACTGCTCCATGCGAGGCCTGACAAGACGACACGTGTCGTCAAGTTCAATGATCTGCAGTCGGGATGCTGTAAGCCGCCCGACATCTGCAGATTCACCGTCATCAACCAATCGGAGTCGACCTACGCGCCGCCTCCCGATGCCTCCTCATCCTCTCTCTCAGATGCGCTCGATCGGGATCCAGACTGCAGGCGATTTGTGGTGGATGGAGACGAGAAGTGTTTCGAGTGCGACTCCTGCAGAGCGGCGTTCCTAGAGACCTTGAGGAGGAGATGGCGGATCGTGGCCATGATTAGCATCCCGATCGCGGGTATGCTGATCTGCGGCGGCGGGGAGGAGGCCAGAAAACGCCAATCCTTCGAACAGAACAGGCTCCGTGGATGATCGTGGACACGTGTCAGGGACAGGGATCGGGATCGGGATCGGGAGGTGATGGGAGTGACTAGGGATCGGGATAGGAATCGTGGCCATGATTAGCATCCCGATCGCAGGTATGCTGATCTGCGGTCGCGGGGAGGAGGCCAGAAGACGCCAATCCTTCGGACAGCACTCGCTCCGTGGATGATCGCGGACACGTGTCAGGGACAAGGATCGGGATCGGGAACGGGATCGGAGTCGGGATGATGAAGTGTGTTGAAGTAGAGTCACCTGTCAATAAGGCTGTCATCGGGATCGGGAGTTTAGTGATGGGGAGTGACTAGGGATCGGGATAGGAATCGTGGCCATGATTAGTATCCCGGTCGCGACTATGCTGATCTGCGGCGGCGGGGAGGAGGGGAGAAGACGCTAATCATCGACATGCTGCTTCTCCTTCGGACTGCGCGCGCGCGCTCCTCTGGTGATGGCGGGCGGCGGTTCCTAGAGACCTTGCGGAGGAGATGTCGGATCGTGGCCATGATTAGTATCCCGATCCCGTCCATGCTAATCTGTGGCGGCGAGGAGGAGGCGGGAAAACGCTAATCATCAGCATTCTGCTTCTCCTTCGGACTGCGCACGCTTTTTCGTGATGGAAGGAGAGAGCAGAAGTGCTTCGAGTGCGACTGTTGCTGAGCGGCGCTCTTGGAAGACCTTGAGGAGAAGATGGCGGATCTCGAGGCCATGATTAGCATCCCGAACCCGATCACGTCTATGCTGCTCTGCGGCCGTGGGGAGGAGGAGGGAGAGAGTAATCAACGTCAACGCTGATCATCAACCTTCCTCTTCGCCTTCCGTTTTGCAGTTTGCTTTGTGTTTTTTTTTTTGGGGGGGGGGGGTGGAACTGAGGAGAGCTAGAATTTTTAGAGGAAAAAAAAATAAAATAAAAAAATTTAGAGGGTCCCTAATGGATACTGTTAATTAGTCTCCATGCCATTTTGTTTCCTTGTTTTTCCGCTATGTATTTATATATGTATATATCGTCAATATATATTTACGTGTCCCGAGGCTAGTCATCACATTCTGCACCTCCTTCCTTTTGGGGTCGGTAGTGTTTTTATACGGGGGGATTAAAAGAGCTGACGAGGAGAAGAATTCATTTCATTTGAAGTTATCGCAAGATTTTCTTCAGGTACCGGTGAAGGATCGTGAGACACGTGTCTTGGATGGGGATGGGATCGGGATAGGGATAGGGATCAGATCGGGCTGCTGCGTGCGCTAAAGTAGGGTCACTTATCATCGGGATCGGGAGGTCATCGGAGTGGCTAGGGATCGGGATAGGTATCGCGATCGGGCATCGGGATCCTCCAAATGCGCTCAAATAGGAAGGCAGTCAATGAGGCAACGGAGAAATGAGACCTCGAACGGTTGGGTGACGAGATGGGCGAGGTACCTGGGACTGGGTAGTGTTTTTTTTTTTTTTTTAGTTGGAAAAAAGGGCTGGGTCGATAACTTGGGGTGGCTAAGCGTCGGGAGTGAGTTTTTTTTTTTTTTTTTTTTTTTGTCAAAGGCTTTTTTTGTCGAAGGTAGTGCTCCCGCTTACCTTACCCCTTTGTATCAATCTGATTTTTATTTTTATTTTTTTCACTTTTTTTGAAAAGGGGGACAGTCTTGACCCGTCCTTGTTTTATATTCAATTTAAGCTGGAAACGGGCCCAGCGCCCCTTACGTATTTGCCGCGGCGGCCATACGGGGCTGGACAAGGCACTTTCAAGTTTCAGCCAAATCCATCCCCGACCACAGCTCCCAACTCAACAGAAGGATCCGAAAAAACCGACTTCAACTTCCGTACTCTCTCTCTCTCTCTCTCTCTCTCTCTCTCTCTCTCTCACACACACACACACACACACACACACAGAGTGATGGCTAATGGGGCAATCTGTTGACATTTCATTATGTTTGCGGAACGGTTTTTTCCCCTTGGCCGCGCAGCCAGTGCTGAGCTGCATCTTTGATCTTCGTCCACTTCTTTATTTATTTCAAATTATTTGTTTCATATGTTTAATTATTTGTGGATGGAGATTATTTTCGCTGGACTCGAGCACTGGGAGCATGGCAGTGGTCCCACAACATAATCGGGTTTGTTCTGATGTCATCTACTGGAAGGGCCCAAATAAAGAACGGAAACCCACACAGAGAGAGAGAGAGAGAGAGAGAGAGAGAGAGGATGAAAGTCATTTGGAAAGTTGAACGGGCAGGATACGACGATCATCCTGAGGCTTGTA